CATTATTTCACACTAAATGGACTGATTATATTCTCTCTTTAACAGAACTGTTTTGTTCGAATCATTCGTATACATTTTGAATATATATAAATGTAAATGGAGAAACAAAGTTCCATATGATGATGATCATTAAATGAAAATGATAGAAAAAAATGTTAAAAATTTTTTCTAAAATTTCAATCATTTTTTTTGCCCACAATTTCATTTCAAATACATAAAATAAAGGAATAACAGAACAAATAATAATAAAAATAATAAATGAATACGATGTTTTAGTGAAAAAAAATTACAACAAAAACAAAAACTGAAAAGACAAATTAAACTCTGTCATGTGGAAGCAATGTATTAGATCAGAGAATGACTGGCATATGAGAAAAAAAAGGAATCCAAGGATGAAAACTGTTTGTAGGAAAAAAAAAGAAAACTTCATCCAACATGGCATTAATAACATGACATGGATATGGCGACTTGATCCATCCATTTACATAGATACAATATAGCTATATATATGATGGTGCCAATTTTTCATTTGTTTGTCATTTATTTTATTTTTTTTTTCATATCATCCATACTTTATTTTTTGTTCATCATTTCCATACGCGCGCATCCATCATTTTGGTTGCCTCATCTTTTATAATATTGAGTGAATATTTTATTATTATCAATTTTTCAATTTTTTTTCTTATCTTGATACATTGATTTTCTTTTTCATATCAAAAAAATCTTTTGAAAAATTATTATTTTGTTGCTGTTGTTTGCTTTGAATAAAATCCATACAATGCCATTTGCTATGATGATAGATTTGTATTTTCTTCTAATATTCATGGCCATCATGATAATAACTTTTTTTCCATTTCATTTCAAACATAGTTTTCTTTTCTTGAATCTATAATAATTATAATTATATTAAAGGGGAATGGATTTTAATAAGATTTTCATTGTATTCGAAGGTTTCCTTTTTCACCGTACAAGATATTCGACCCTTGTGTGTCTACATATAAAATTTGACAATAATTTCTAACCATAAAATGACGCCATTATTATCAAAGTCATATTATATACCCACATACCCATGTCATTCAACGTAGTTATTTTCTCTCATTTTCTAACTGCACTCACTTGTTTTTTTAATGGCGCCCATTTTTTATCGTTTTTCTTCATTTTTTATGCTATCGGTTCTAGCCTACAATGTATGACAGCTTTTGATGATGACTTTATTCCCTCCCTCATCATCATCATCATCATCATTTCTATACAGCGCAAAAAAAATATTTTTTCATCATTTTACTTTTCCATTAAGCTACGATCGGGCTCTACTTTTTCATATTTTTTCGTTTGATGATTGGTTGGTTGGTTGATGATGATGATGATGGAGCCATTACATTCATTCATGGACTGAAACTAATGCCCGCCTGTTTTTTTTTCATTTTTTTTACTAACCATATATTTTAGTTTGTTTGGTAGTCTATATGCATTACATAATTCATATGAAGACATTCAATTCATACACATGTAGTGGTACACACTGACGCCATGGCGTCATAGACATACGAATATTCATCTATTTGATCTGCTATTATTATGGATATCATATTTTGCTCTATTTCATATCAAATGATTATAACCATCATTTTTTTCTATTTTAATGAAAAATTTCACAAATTTTATTTTTTTATGGATACCTTAGACCAGTGTTTCAAAATTTGAGCCGACTCTGCTTAAACATCAGATCCATGTCAGAACTTTGGATTTTTTTTGAAACAGAACCGAAAAAAAATGAAAAAATAATATTACCATTAAAAAAAATACCAGCCCTTTGGACAACTACAGTTATGAGAATATATATTTTATTATATAGCAAACTCATACGCATACACATATATTTAATATCAAGATCAAATGAAGAAAAAAAAATTATTTCTCCTGCTACTGGTGTAAATGATTAGTCTGATGATAACATGACAGGCGCCTTTGAATATACAACAACTTCCGTGCAATACCAAAAAAAAAGTTTCAAGTTTTTTTTGGTTGTTATTTTTGAAAAAAAACTTGACAAACCAAATTTTGAGTTTTTCTCCCCTTTCTCCATCTCAAACTCTGTCATCTTATTTTCATAGAGAATATTAATAAAATTACTAAAGTTATTGATGCATAACATTTATTCATTCATTATATTCTAATCTTAAATTTTCACTATCTATATATAATATTATATCAAATTTTATATTCCCGTAATATTACAAATTCATTGATTGTAGACTATGTAAACTTTTTATTTGAAAAAAAATTCAAATTTTCCATCCTCTTTAACTTTGATGTATGATTCACAGTATGTATTTATGTTTTTGTTTGCACTTATTCTGGAACAACTACGACGACGAGTTTGAAACTTGAAAACAAATATTTAATAACAAAAATAAATGATACAATTTTTTTACGTTGTTGTTTTCATTGAAAAAAATTCAAAATGTTTCAAATAAAATGTGAAATTCATAATAATATCTCTACATTTGAGAATGGAAAAAATGCAGGAATTTTTTTTTTACAAAAGGAATAGATAGAAAAATTGTCTCAATTATCGAATCGGTGTCTTCGTTTTTGGTTTGTTGTATTGAATGAGGAAGTTTTTTTTTGTCGAGAAAAATGTATCATTGACTTTTATTTTTGGCTATGAAATTATTTCCCTGCTTTATTAAATTTTCATTTTGTTTTTTATTTTTATATTTTCATTTCAATCATAGTTATATTCGAGTAAACAGAATAAATTATTCATAAATTGAATGTTTGTTCGATATGTATACATTATTTATGTATTTTATTTTCCTTTTTTTCGTAAATAAATAAGTGAATCAAAATACTCCCTCACTTTTTGTATGTCAATAAATTCAAGATATGAATATATAAGAAATTGAAATTCATTTTACAAAAAAAAAAAAATTAAAATGTTAAGAGACATAATGTTTTCGAATCACATGATTTTTTTTTGCATTATCAAATTATTTCTTTTTATTTTATTTGGCTATAATGAGAAAAAATCAAATGGTAATAATAATATCATCATTATTAATGATATATAGGTTTTGATTTTCTAATGAACAAACATGAAGATCATGGAAATAGTTTATTTTTTGTTAATTAGTGTTTTTTTTTCTACTTGAATTCTTCATCATCATTTGCGTAATCATCATAGATAATGTATTAAAACTATCTTGTTTTTGTTTTTTTTGATTTGCATTCATAAAAACAAATTTGCATGTCAAATACGCATGACCATTTCGAATGAATATTCATGTTACAATTGCCCAATGGCTAAAATAGTGGCAGTATCGTTTGCATTCAAAATAATTGATTTGATGTTCATTTCATATTATATACATAGATTGATGAATGACAACCTAAAATATCCTGTCAATTCAAGTGTGATTTATGTGAAATTTATATAGCTTTATACATGCCATCAGATCTCATATCATGTTATATTCATTGCATAAATCAAAACCATCCTTATCATCATTTATTTTTATTTTAATGGATTTTTAGCTCACTTTTTCATTCCTCAAACATTTATTAATTCTCATTACTCTCTCATGAGAGAGAGAGAAAGAATCGTTCCATTCGCATATATTCTCGTGAGTGATGATTTAAGCTTTCATTTTCACCCAACAACAACAACAACAACATGATGATGATTAAAAATTGGAAAGAAAAACAATTAGAAAAAAGAACCAGTTATCAGTTATATAGAATGTCAAGTGATTAAAATCAGTTGAATAATTTCTTTCAATTTCAATCTTTTCATGGTCCTTATCAAATATAAATATAGGATTCATTTGTACCAACTAACTAACCTTTACGATATATATCAAGTTAGGAAAAAATACTGATCTTTTTTTTCAATGAAAATCATTTTAATTAAAGTGATTCTAATTAAATATTCTAACATATCTATACATTTTAATGAATGAATGATGACAAGATGAAATGCATAAACATATACGAAATGGTTACATTAGATTTAGAAAACTGTCATATTATCAATGATATTGAATAATTTCATGTGACAAACTCATATCACTTTTTTTCTGAGATAATCCATTATATTAATTATATATTATCATCGGTCATAGGCATCTTTTCTATGCAATCAATTTGATCCTGGATTTTCTTTCAAATTTTTTTTTTTGCCTTTTTTCCATTCATTAATTATTTTCATTATTATTATAATCATCATGATTGTTTGAATGTTTTTAAAGTTATACATTTTCATATAAGCTTTGGATTTTATTTCCACGAATATCGCTCAATAAGTATTAAAGAAAGAAATATAAAACTTATCAAATGCAACCCTTTTTTCCTATATTCTTATATACAACCAATATTGTAAATAAATCTATCGACGATAAATTAGAAAAATTCCACTTTAATTTTATTCTCTCTTTTTTTTGTCTCATTTATTGAGATTAGTAAGATTTAACCATCATAATAGTAACTGAAAAGGGGGTTGATATAACTGATTAATGTTGACGAATTTGCAAAAAAAAACTTGAAACACTAATTTGATGTATTTAAACCGATTCTAGCTTGACTAATTTCACTATCTTAGTATCATCATCATCATCATCATTATATTGAATCGTATTAAATTAGACAGACCAATTTACAGTTGTCTTCGTTTTAATTTTGTGTTTTTTTTGCTTCTATTTTCTTGTTGTTGATTGCTCGTAAAATACAGATTCTGTTGAATCGTAAGTTTTCTTGTGAGTTTTTTATTTGTGTGTGTTTGATGTTTAGCTTTCAGTCATTCCATGCAAACAAATCGATTTCATTTGTGGAATTGTTAGTTGGTTAAGAAAGTAGAAATTTTTCAAAATTTTTCCCAATGGAAAAAAACAGCTTAATCATCATTGTCATTCGCATTGTTTGTTTGGAGTAAATTTTTTTGTTTTGATTCCTTAATTGATTATTTATTTATTTATGTTTTTTTTCATTTTTTCAAACAGTTCCTTTAATGTCGAAAACAATGAAATCACATATAACACCAAACGGAAAGAATTTATGCGATAAATGTGGTGGTTCATATGCTACATTGGCAGCATTAATTAGTCATAAAAAATCGTGCAAAAGTAAGAAAAAATTATCCACCACATCGACAACGAATACGACATCGAGAACAATTTCAGATCATCATGGATCATCATCCTCATCATCAGTATCTCGTAATCATATCAGCAACAACAACAATAATACCGGTGATGATAAATTACTATCGAACAACAGTGGTGTACATGATTCGGATCCTACATCATTCTTTCAACATCATCATTCACATTCGCATCCACATTTACTTTCTCATCATACATATCCCTTACTTCAACATCAACATCAATCATTGTCGGATGAACATCAACAGAATCTTAATAAACTAATGGCATTTGAAAGTTTGGCTGCCGCCGCTGCTGCTGTCGCCATGGAAAACTCATCCACTGTTAATCAACAACAAGCCACAAGTCCATTGAGCGCATTATCAGGACATTGGCCGACGACTAATGAAATGATGATGAATTCACCGATTTCACAAGCAACAACAACGACAGCGCCATCGTTCTCTGCTGCAACTTCAGATATGAATGCTTTTATAGAATCATTAACACCGTTATTTACCGGCGGATCAATTCCATCATCATCATCACAACATCAACCGTCCGAACGTAATGAATCATTATCGGCTAGAGAACAACAACAACAAGCAGCATTATTTACACAGCAAATGATGTTGTTTCATATGTTACAACAAATGCATCAATTACAACAACAACAACATCCAGGTACATCATCATCAATTCCACCATTTCCATTGATCGCTGCTGCTGCAGCAGCTGCAGCACAACATCAGTCATCACAACAATCAACATTACCACCATCATTATCATCATCACCATTGATTGCAAATAATAATAGGTCAATTTCATTGGATCAATTAAATGATAATGAAATTGAAGGAAAAAAATCACCGGTTCATCATTATCATCATAATTTAAAACACATATCGCGAACATCATCATCAACAAATCAAAATTCAATTAAAAAAGATACTCATATCGAATCATCATCGACGACGGTAAAGTCTAACAAAACAAAAATATTATCGTTTGATCATGAACATGATGAAGAAAAAAGTGATCTCGAGGATAGCACACATCGACAATGTCAGCCATCATCATCATTATCACCAAAAAGTGACCGCGAAAATGAATCAATTACAAATTCAGCTTCAACTCGTAAGCTACTTTCATCGATACTGGATTTAAAAGATACGAATCCGGATGCACCATTACCACCAATGATGAGCCCACCTAAAGTCGATTCTTCCGAACCAGTATCATTTAGCGAACCAAATACACTAGAATTGTTGCAAAAACATACCGAACAAGCATTACAGAATACAATGTCTGGAGGTTCATTTCTTCTGAATGGGCTTTCATCAACTGATAATAATGAACTACTTAATTTTCGTAAAGGAAAAGATGGTAAAGAAGATCCGGCCAATAGACATCGTTGCAAATTTTGTGGAAAAGTTTTCGGTAGTGATTCAGCATTACAGATACACATTCGATCACATACTGGTGAACGTCCATTCAAGTGTAATGTTTGTGGAAATCGTTTTACTACGAAAGGAAATTTAAAAGTACATTTTCAACGTCATAAGGCTAAATATCCACATGTAAAAATGAATCCACATCCGGTACCTGAACATTTGGATAAATTTCATCCACCATTAGAACCACCATCAAATTCACAATCGCCACCACCTCCACCACCGCCTACCACATCATCATCATATCCATCACAATCAAATACTTTACACATTCCAGCAATATTCAGCTCTACATTGATTCCATATGCAAATGATGAGGCAATTAACAATAAATCTTCGAATAATAGTGATAAAAACAAATCAAAACCAAAAAGCCTATTTGATTTTGCAAATTTCTATAAAAATAATAAAGAGTCTGGCGTAAATGAAATTGATGATGATAATGATAATGAAGATGATGAAGATGATGATGATGATGATCATAATAATGATAATGACGATATTGATGATGATGATAATGTTGATGATGATGATGTTGATGATGATGATGATGCTGGTGACAACAACAATGACAATGATGTTAATGATTCAATCAAAAGTGACCATTCCGATATCAGTAGTCATCATACAGATCAAGAAAAACAAGAAGAACAATCAAAACAAAATAAAAAGAATCAAAAATGTAAATCAGATAAAACAACATTTTATAGTTCTGATACCGATCTGGATACTGATGATTGTGACAGTCAACGACGCAAACCATCATCCGAACAAGATAAAAATAGAAAACAAAAAAACAAAGACCATGAAAATGAAAACAATGAATATAATAATCAAGATAATCATAATGAACCTAATAATGATTCAATAAAGAAAGAAAATGAAAGTAACAGAGATGAAAATATGGATCAACAGAATGAAATTGATGATTTGGATGATATCGATGCTGATGATGATATCGATGATGTTGATGGTGTTGATGAAGATGATGATGATGAATTATGTGATGAATTTGGTATTCCATACGGTAAGTTCATAAATCAAAAACGAAACTTTTTCAAATTCATCGATTTATTCATATAAAATTATCTCAGGTTTAATATCATCTAAACATTCATTACATGGATTGATGGGATTGCCATTCAATATGGATGCAAATGGATTTTCCAATTCAGTCTCTTTACCGGCTTCATTGGCTGCAAATAATTCATCCGCCGCACAATTTCCACGAATATCTGATAGTATGAGTGAATCTGATCTAGTAGAAGGTGCTTCTAAAGATCCGGTTCTTTATCAAAATCTATTACCTAAACCAGGCAGTACTGATAGCGCATGGGAAACATTGATGGAAGTGCAAAAAGCATCTGAAACAGTCAAATTACAACAATTGGTTGATAATATCGAACATAAGCTTCAAGATCCCAATCAATGTATCATTTGTCAACGGGTTTTGAGTTGCAAAAGTGCATTACAAATGCATTATCGTACCCATACTGGAGAAAGACCATTCAAATGTAAGATATGCGGTAGAGCATTCACGACAAAAGGAAATCTGAAAACACATATGGGTGTACATCGAGTAAAGCCTCCATTGCGTATGCTGCATCAATGTCCAATTTGTCATAAACAATTCACAAATGCTCTGGTTTGTATTCAAATATTGTTTTATTGTTTGTAATAATCACAATCAATTGATGAATTTTTTAGGTTTTGCAGCAGCATATTCGGCTACATTCTATAGATCCTAATGGATCGAATACTCCAGACATCACACCTGAAATGTTGAATGATTTGAAAAATAGCAATATGAATTTTCCTCGTTCATTTTTTCCGATGGGTTTCAATGGTCCATTTCCAGCATTGCCACCAGGAGCAGCACCGGGCTTATTCTCGCCTAATTTTCTTTCGGAGATGGCAGCAAAACATTTAAACCAGAATTCGAATTCATTACCAATTAATATTCTTAATCCATCTAATTTCCATCAAAATCAATCAAATGAATGTTCTAGTGTTGATCTAGCCGAGAAAGATAATGATCTTGATACCACCGATTCAGATACATCAAAAGACAAAAGAAAATCCGATATGGATATAGATGATAATAGACCAAATAAAGTTTCGACAAGCGCAGATGATATTCGATCGATTAGTGACACGACTGAAATCGAAGAAGAACTACTTGTATCACCAATAAAAAAGAAAAAAATTGATGATGAAACAAAGAAAAATGAAGAAAACACATTGAGTGCTTTGGAGCATCATGTGATGAAATCGACTGCAGAGATTAGTCCGCAACCAAGATATCAATCGAGCAAGAATGAAAATGAAATTGCTTCCAATTCAACCCCGAAGACTGATATCAATAATGAACAACCATCTAAAGCAGACAATGACAGGTCTAAACCATACCCGAATACACCGTTCGCTGGTTTGCCTTATCATCCTACCGGAAGGCCAAACACCACTTGTCGAATTTGTTTGAAAACGTTTGCTTGTTTTAGTGCATTGGAAATTCATTATCGTTCTCATACAAAAGAAAGGTAGGTTGTCGATTTGATTTTAACTTGAATCTCAATCAAAAAAAAAAACTTAATTATATGTTCATTCAAAAAAAGGCCATTCAAATGCGAAGTTTGCGATCGTGGATTTTCTACCAAAGGAAATATGAAACAGCATATGTTGACACACAAAATTCGTGACTTACCCCAAGAATTGTATTCTACAATATCACCATCCGATAATACGACTTTGGGAAATTTTCTTACAAGTAATAGTATAACAAAAATAATTGGAAAACAAATGAATTTTCAACATCACCAAAATAATATGGCTACATCGTCAAATAATTCAAACAGTAGTAGCCGAGTAGCAAGTCCACATACACCGAATGAAAATTCAATGGATTCTGATAAATTTCGTAATACTGAATCTCCTGCTACCGAATCGAGTAATAATACAACACCTCATTCATCATCATCATCATCAAATAAACACATGTGTAACATCTGTAATAAACCGTTTTCTAGTGGTTCGGCTCTACAGGTAATTTTGTGAAATTAATTTTTCAAATGAAAATCTTAATTTTATATTCGTGATCAGATTCATATGAGAACACATACCGGTGACAAACCTTTTAAATGTCAAGTTTGTGGACGAGCATTTACGACAAAAGGAAATCTAAAGGTAATTTTAATTTGATTCTTAAAATCTTATATATTTGGATTATTGATTTAAATCCAATTCATTAGGTTCATATGGGTACGCATATCTATACGCATAGTAATCCATCCAGACGTGGTCGACGAATGTCTATTGATTTACCAAATTTGAAACTATGTGAAAATATTATCCAAAATAATTCTTCTGCAATGTCTGAACAATATCATCGAAAAAAATCTACGACTGAAATTCAATCATCTCAACCATTAGTATCAACAGCAACAGTACCAACAACACCTCCTACACCAACAACGGCTACTTTACCTGCTACAGAAATGTCCGATTCAGGAAATCATCCGAATCCAGATCCTGATCTTTTTCTTAGATTTTTGAATCCTCATTTTCTAAATAGTAAGTTTATCTTATTACTACGAACAGAATTTAATCTAAATGTTTTAACATAGCAGCAGCCAATTCAGAAGCAAGTCAATTGGCATTACAGCAAATGATGTTGATGAAAATGATGTCAAGTCAACATCACCAGCAACAACAACGATCTCCATCATCACAGATTCCTCTTGAATTGACCGAAACTTCTGATAAAACACCTTTAAATCATGATGACAAAAATATTGAAGATGATAATGAAAACCAAAGCTTTATTGGCAATGAATCCAAAGAACTTATATGCGAACCAGAAATCGATCTCAATAATGATAAAAATTGTGGAATCAATAATTCCACATCTAATCAACATAGTGATGATGATGATGATGATGATGAAGTCGAAAAAGCTTATGATGAAGATGAAATGGAAAATCATTCATTTCGTTCCGATCGAAGTCATCAGGCTAATGATGATTGGTCAAATAAACTACTGAAATGTACGTTATGTAGCCAGGTATGTCATTCACCAACGGATTTCGAAGAACATATCAAAGCACATTTACATGCTGCTGCTGCTGCTGCAAATTCAATGTCGGCTTCGATCAAAACCACTGCTGATGTTGCTTCGTGATATCAACAATGGCATCGAATCAATCAAATTAATCGGATGGCCAATGTTATAAAACACATTCTTTATAAATAAGACCAATAGTCTTGTTCTGATTACTTTAAACTGACTAGATTCACTTACTCAGCGTCAACAAATCAATCAATCAATAAACAATCGACAATTCATTTGGCTTTAAAATATTGGACATAATTCTTTCCGCACCATGTCTCTATTTATTGATATTTCTCATATTCTCGAAGCTCATAATCATCACATCATCATCAAATTTATACATAGAATATTTACAGTGATAAATTAAACACTGGAAAAAATTCATTCATAATTATTTGATAATAATTCAAATGTCTGCAGACATTTATGGCAATCTCAAATACCAAAATTCATCAAATTCTCTTTCTATCAATCATTAAATTATAATCATGGAATATACCTAAACATACTTATTCATTGATATTTGATATATGAACATTATTGATGTTTGATTTTATTACCTGCCTCTTCTTCTTGCCCCATCCTCCACATCGTATAAAACGAATTTGTATAGGATCATCATCATGAATTCATAATTTCGAATTTATGTAATTCCCACTTTCTCGCTTATTTGGATCTCTCTCTTTCTTTCTTTCGCTATCTCTCTGTATTCTCATTTATTATTTGTATAAATCCCATTTCACTATACACAATTCAAACTGGAATCTGGAACACACAAAAAAACACAAATTCATCTCTTCAAGTATTACAACAAAAAAAACATTTTTATTTCTAAAAAACATTTGCAATATTACAAATCTTTTTCTTTTGTTTTTTTAGTAAATTTATTATAATTATATATGATTTCAAATTGAATGATAGTGGTTTAAAATTCATTATTTGATCATTTGCAAACACACAAAAATCAAAACGAAAAAAATATTCCAATTGTATATCTGATACGAAAATAAAATCAAATGAAAATATTTGTGGTTTATTGGAAAAAATGAGTTGATTGAAAATTGATGGGCCTTCTGAATTTACGAAAGTATTTTCCTGTTATCTCCGATAATGGGGGTAAATTCAAACAACATGTTAAAGCTGTTTCATCGTATTGTAATACAATGATTCTTGTTATCCATGGTACAAGTTCGAAAATTGTTATCTTCTGAAGAATCAGAATTTGATTAAAATATGTTTTCGCACTTTTCTGTTGAAGAGCAATCACGTGTTTGGTTGTCTGGAATAATCATAAAACATTTCGTCGATAATATTCTTTGTTTCTATCATTTTATCGTTCATTTGATTCTCTTGTTTTGTTTCAAATTACACCTAACTGGTGGAGGTTAACATAAATAATTTATTTAGAATCATAACGCAATAACAGTTAAAATTTTAAGAATTGATTGTAGTTATATTCTTAGTTGTTGATGTATTGAGAACATTTTCGGCAGTTATTGTTCGTTTTGTCGATGGTTCAATAGGCTGAAATGCAGAAGATTTTGATGGTAATAATTGCCGTTGCGATGTAGTATCTAATGTTTTATCCAAATCATCTTTTAATTCTTGATTAGCTTGTTGCACGGCTTCCATGAAACGATTCAATCGGTTTTTATTCTTTTTCTTATCATGCTCATGATCTTTGATTGAGAATACATAGGTTGGTATCGGATATAAACGTTCATCGTCGTTAGGCTGCTGAACATTTATCTCAGTTTCAGCAACATCCATTATATTAGTTGACTCAACAGCATCATCATTTTCGGGACTCACTTCTATCATTTGATCGGCTTCTTTAGCGTCAGCACTTTCAATTTCAATTTCAGTGGTCAGGTGATCATCATTATTACATTCTTCATCATCACCATCATCATCTATATCATCATCATCATCATCATCATCTATACCATCCGGAATATTCATATTTTTAGAATTAGAACTTTTCCTGCCAATAGTTTCATTCCCAGAATCCGCAACGGCTAAAAATACATTATAAGATGACGGCTTCACCTGAGATGTCATCAATTCTAATTCTTCAATATGAGTTAGTTTTTTCGTTTTACATTCTTCATTATTATTCGATAATATTGATGACAATGGTGTTTCCGGCGAAGATTTCCGTTTGTTGACAGCCAATTTAGTTTGTAAGTTAGAATTAGTCGAACTATATGAACTTAGGATTTCGTTGTTACGAACACGTTTTTTAGGAATTATGAATTGATTTTCATTATCCAAAACATTTGTACTTCGTTTTAAAGTTTTATCATTCTTATTGTTGTTCGTTGATGTGGTGGATGAAAGTCCAGAATCTATATCTACATTTGCTTCATAATCATCATCTACATGATAATCATCTTCATCATGATTGTTTCGAGATTTCTTAGTACCTAGATCTTCATGATCATCAATTATCGGTCGTTTTTTGCTGTTAGAAGCACCCCAATTAACAATTTTGATTGATGATGCTTCTTTTGCATTTGAAACAGTAGTTGAACTTTCATTTATTGAGAACTCGACATTTTGACCAGAATTTATCGAATCATTATTTTCTACAGATTTTACAATAGCCGAACGGTTGGTGAAAATATTTGATGACAAAGTTTCCAATGGAAAAGGCGATAGTTTGACAGTAAACTGTCGGGTAGCTTTAGGTTTTTCATTTTTGAAACTATTACCAATTTTTGATGGCGCATATCCATAAATTGAATGCGGCGAAATATAATTCACTGGTGAACTTCTGAACCGAAAACGATTATGAACTAGATTATTATCATTGGCTTGTGATGAAATGCCATTTTTTGAAACATTGTTAGGCGAAAAAACTAATGAATCTGTGAAAAAACAATAGCATGAAAAAGGGCATCTTATTTAATTGTCATTACCATTAATTAATGTTGTATCTAAATTATTTTGATTTGATTGACGAACGATCGTGGTCTTGAAGCATTTTGTTTGACAAAGATTTCGTTTTAAGTAATAATATCGATAATAAAATGATATAATTATAGCAGTAATTAATATACACAAAGTAAATACAATGAAAACAAACATTTTTAAAAATACGGGATAATTTTATCTTACAAAATCTAATAAATTCCTTTAAATTCTAATCATAAATAATATGAGAATTTTCGCGAAACAATACACTTTTAACGCGAACAGAAAAAAACATGCTTTGAAACCAATCAAGTCGAAATGGTTGCCTGGATCGAAAAAGACGCGCGCGCTTTTTTCATCATAGTGTATTCATACGTTGCAAACTCTTTATTTGATTTTTTCGTTCCAAAAAAAGAATTGATTCAAATTCTGTTTTTCAAAGTGATAGGCAGGATAAAAATAATTGCAGAAATAATAACGAGATTGTTCATCATTTGAGGATTAAAATAATAAAAAACGAATTCGATAAATAAATATCAATCAAAGCACATTACTCTATATATTCTTAGATTTTTATTTTGATTATGGATGATCTAAATTTAGGTATTTTTTTTTTTATTCATCTATCGAATCTTACTTAGATCATCATTATTTATCAACTTTGTATCCATACTATTTTTTCAAATTCCATTGTGATAATAATGGACAATGAAAATCAAAAGATGTATGTATGAATGGAATTTGAACTGAATCCAAATTTCTACTTTTCTTTATATTTTGTTGTTCAACAACAATGTTGAGATTCGAATTGAAAAAAAATTAGACTTTGCTGTATGTAATTAAAATCAAATCTAACAACAAGAATGGCACAAAGATCATCATTGTTGTCGACAATAGCAACAACAACAACAACAATGATGATGATGGCCATAGGTTAAACTTAAAAATAACTTTCATTCGTATAAAATAAAATACATGACATCGAAAATTTCATGTACATATCAGGTCATGCCATCATTATTATTTTGGTCGAGTTTGATCTGTAAAAAAAAGAAAAAGAAAAAAACTCCAAATCTAGTTAAACATTAAATATTAGAATGGATTCGATTCAAGTGAGATAACCGTATCGAACTTTAAACAAAAAAAAATGAAAGAGACAACAACAAAACGGCAGGTTATAATCAACTCTTTTTATGGTTGCTGACCAATAAAATCAACATAACCACCATCAATTGTATCGAATCAAGGAAAAAAAATTTGGCCAATATTTTTTTTCCCGAAACATAAATCAAAATGGACTCCTGTCATCATTCATTCATTGTTTGTTCAACATCATCATCATCGTTCATCATGTTTCATCATAATTAATTCTAATCATAATAATTATCAGCCTACAAACAAAACAAAACAAAACAAAAAGTTGATTAATTTTATAAATTAAAAAAATTGTAATCATCATTCGATCCAATTCATTACTTGCTGTGTAAATATATATAATATCAGGAACTAACATTTTTTTTTCTTTTTCATCAATCGATCTAAAACAATCTTAGATTTAATTTTCTTTTGTTTTCAACTAAACAAATAAATAAAATAAAAATCTGTATAGAAGTGATTAGAATCTATCCGTATGTTGGCAATCTAGATAATAATAATTGAATTTTTCATCACGCGTGATTGCAATTAAATGAGAATGAAAGGAAGAGAAAGAAAAAATAAAAAAAATTTAATCTATTACTTGAAAATATTTTGATTGAATTTGAAAAGAAAAAATAACATTCATTTCATCAAAAATCACGACATTAGCCAACAATTTATTTTCCCCGAAACTATCATCATCATCAACCGGCAAAATAATTTTTTGGAACAAATGCAAGAGAAAACAAAATTCAACAAATATTCAATTTTATTTTTGTGAGATAAAATTACAAATTTTTCATTCTATACAAAATAATCATCAAAAAACGTATTTGTCATTTTGTTGTGTGAGAACATTCAGTGTTTTTTTTTCTCATCAAAAAACATTTTTATTGAATTTTAATCCCGTAGTTTTTCTCACCAATTTTTTTCGCTGTTTTCTATGTTCAATTTGACGATTATTGTTAACTTTTTGTTCTTCATCTAGGTTTGTTTTTCGTTGTTGTTGTCTTGGAACAAATGTCATGATACGATTCCCATTAATACCACCACTACTACCTTGTAACAATCGGTTATTTTTATTTTCTTTTTCTAAATGTTTCAATCGTTGTTCAAATGTTTGACGTTCAATTTGTTGATTATCATCATTATGATGGTTATTGCTATTCCTATTTTTGCTATAAAGATCATCAAAAGTTTTTCCCGATTTAAGATGATATAATTTTGTTTTCACTGTTCGTTTTGGTACAGTACTTTTTTCCTGTTCGTGTTCGCTATCATCATCATCATCATCATCATTATAATCATCGTCATCACTATCTGAAAATTTTTCATGTTTATTTTTCTTTTCATCTTCATCTTTATGTTTTGTATCGAATATTAGATCTTCATCCGAATCCGTTGTACTATCATCGAGGACATCATCTTCTTCAAATATATCAGCATAGATTGGTTTAGTTTGTCCATCATCATCATCATTGACAATAGTTGATTTCGAATTATTTTTTGTTAATCGTGATAATACTGGATTCAAAAGACGAAATTCATCACTTGTTTCATCGATTTCAAAATTTGGATCATCAAATAATGCAGAAAATCGATCATCTTTTAGAGGATTAGGTTTGTATTTAACTGTTTTATTTTGTTTCTTCTTCTCTTCCATTTCTTTTTCCGCCACCATTAATTTTTCCGCTAATAAACGATTCACTTTTGGTAATTTATCCGTAATCTGTACACGATCAATACGTTCAGAATCGATTTTTTCCTTAATTTTCTGTTTGCGATATTCTTCATAAACAAACGGTTTGGATATCTCTAAAGCTTTGCGATATAATCGCATATCTATAAAAAATCCATGCATATAAGCTCGCAATAGATTTGTGCCAATCAAATCACTAAGACCAAGTTCTTCTAATTCATGTTCGGTAACGAATTTATAATCATCATATATGACATTATCATTTGATTCTTCCAATTCTTCGGTAATACGATCCAAAAATGAACACCATTTTGGTGCCGGACCAACAGCTGGTATGTAATAGGTTAAAATTTTTGGTGATTCATTTGCTACGAACATCATGCCCGAATTAGGATATGCTGCTAACATATTGAGATCATTGTCCGCTTGAATAGCGGTGAATGGTGTGCCATCATTTCGATTCCATAGTTTGATTATTTTAGCATCAAGTGTTGCAACTAGATTCAAAGGACCATCGATAAATTCAATAGTCTTGATTGGTAGGCCATACATGTGATCCTTATTTAAGAATGGTTTATTGGCACGAATATCGTATAGTAATATCTGACCATTAGATGTTCCAACGCCCATCGTTAGACCATCACGATACTTAATTGTGGTGATTGATGGAATTTCGCTCACTTTTGCAGGATCATTACGCAAACTTTCCAGAGCACAATCTAATGTGCCAACTCTTTCACGAACTCGTGGATCCCAAGCTTCGACAAAACCTTCTTGTGAGCCAACAACGATTAGATTATGTTCGGGATTAATTGATATTGCATTCAATGTTGAACAATTTGTCTCGAATGGTTTCAAAAATGTACCCACACTCAAATTAAGGCGATATATTTCCGAACTATTGCCAACAAACAAAGCGTCACATGTGGCAGAATTGTAGGCAATATCACGACCAAATTTCGGTATGCGTGTTTTAAAATAAAACCCAGCTTGCGAATGAATTTCGATCCATCGATCCGCTTCTAATAATAATAATTTTCCATAATCTTCAGAGAGGATAATGCATTTGATCACTTCAGAATCTAAACACCTTTCGAATTTCATCGCCAACTGTTCAACATCAAAACATCGAATTCTTGGTTTATAAACACCCGTCGCAATGATATATTGTCCATCTGGTGATACATTCACTGTATTGCTAACTATGGGCATATCGAAATCTTGTATCAATTGAATTCGTCGTCGAAGATCAACATCTTTTTTTAGCAGCAGACGCCGTTTTCGATCTGAAAGCCATTCGGGAATCGTTTTTCCCTGGCTTAAATTATAAGTTTTTACATCATTCACTTCGGCCACTTGCATTTTACTTGTCAAATAATTGACATTTAAAAGATAAAATGATAAAAATAACAATTAACTAAAAATTCAAAAGAAAATTCTTATAAAACAAATAATCATATGATTCTAATATTGAACGAACCACGTGTGAAAAAGAATTTCTATTTCATAAACAATGTTACCGGAATTTTAGTGATTTTTTTGTCTAATAGATGTCAGTCTCATCTTTTCTATTTTTTCAACAAAAATTATTTTCAAAAGAATAAAAACGGAAACCGGTCATAATATCATTGAATTAATTTGGTTAAAACAAATAACAATTCATGAATGAGTGATCGATCTAAACTTTTATGTTCATGTTTAAACAATATATTCGTCATTTATCGAATTAAATGTTGATCATTCGTCGTTACAGTTTACTTTGGTTGTGTTTATTTATCACATATATCCTATATATAGAATCGAATGTAGTTTGATAATGTATGATGAATGTCTAATTGAATTAAATCAGCAACTTTAAGTACAATTCGATATGAACATCATTGAACAACAATGAATTGGATATCATCAATTTGTAGTGGCCATAGTCAAAACTTTATATGTTGATTATTTACTTAGTGAATGAATGAATTCGATTCAAAAAAAAAACCTTTCTTTCTTTCGTATACATGTTCACATTGTAAATATTTTCTATCAAATTTTCACATGAGAAAAATATAAACAATTCCGAGTTGATCTTTTGACTCTACTGAAATTTCTTTTAAAAAAATTGAAAATCAAAAAACAATAGCTTTTATGAACATGTGTTTTCATGGAACCTATTCAATCCGAAATCCAAAAATAATAATAAAAATTATGATGAAAATAAATTTAAAAAATATAAAATCAATCGTATAGAGGTGTTTTTGTATTTGGAATCTAAAGAATTTTCATTCAAATATAAATGACTTTTATTTTCAATTTAAACAGCCATACACATAATATTGATAAACGATGTGAAATAAAATCCATCATATGCTAATCAGAAAACTGCCAACAAGAATCAGTAAAATTATTCGTCTGCCAAAACCAAATATTTATTCTTGTCGTCCTATGATATATTGTTACATAAACTTTGGTAAATTGATTCCAATAATAATTATTTTTGTTTTTCCAGTGAAAATTCCTGAAAAAAAAAACAATCATGAAATTATTTTTATTGTGGTATTTTATTTAATTAATTAAATGTTTTCTTTTTCTTCTCATTCATTTTGATGATAAAATCATCACCATCATCATTAAAACATGATGAATCAATTTTTATTTCTAAATCGATTCGTATTGATTTAGGATTTTATTCATTCAACAATTTCAATCGAATCGGTTTTTTATTTTGGTTGAATCTCAGATTTCATTATAACATCATTCAATGTTCTCGATTGGTGATGATTGTTATTCGATTGATTTTCGGTGACAGGCAATTTCATTTCATTCCTGCCATTATTGATTAATGCATTGTCTATTTTTGTGAGTGTTTTCTTTCTGTTTTTTTTGTATTTTCGATAATTGTTTTACCCACCATAGCCGACTATTCAGAATAATCAATATCTATACCCGAAAACAAAAAAAGTTTTGTTATTTTATATAATGAAAATGAATGAAAATTTTCATTTGATGATGACCATGATGATGACGGAATGTCTACAATACGACAATAAATTTAGTCTGATTTTGTTCAATGTTTATGCTCTATCTAATGAATCTATTTTGGCAAAGAAAACTTGTCTCTTTTCCAATTCGTTCGCGATGAATGAAAGAGTTACCAACCAACAACGACAATATTGTTAATAGTAATACATAAATGCCTTGAAATTGATGGTGATTTTTTTTGTTGTTGTTGCTTTTTATACTCATCATATAAATGGTTTATTCATCCGAATAATCATCAATCAGACTATTTAGTTAAAGACTTGATCCATTCATCTTGGCTGATTTTATATATTGGAGGAAGCAATGTCTTTTCGCTCACTCTCTTCTTCTTTTTGCAATACATTTCATTCATGGATTAAATATAATCTTCTAATTGATTTATAGTTATTTGTTTATCAATTTGTTTATCATCATCTTGTGTTGAATCACAATCTCAATTGTATTAAAAAATCCATATTGTCATTGATGTTGTTGTTTGGAATTTTTCTTGTTTGGCACATATGTCGGTTTATATATTCATAATAAAAATAATAATAACATATAAACAATATACATCATCATACAATCATTTTGAATGACAACGGCACGAAAAATATTTGAAAACAAATGATCATATCAATTGCATATCATTCATCTAATTTTTTGTTTGTTTGTATGTTGATTATGATCACATTTTTTTCATCATAAAAATATATATTAGGTGTAGAGTATATATGGAGCTGATGACGATCAACAAAATATTAAAAAAAACTGAAACACTAAAATAACAAATATCAGTTACGTAGGCCCGTTATGTTCATCATCCTAATTATTTTTTTTATATTTTATGAAAAGAAGAAAAAAATTATACATGATTCACACACACACACCGCCATCAATATAGCTAACATTCTGTTTCATTTATTTTTTTAATTTCGTTTGTCAAAAAAAACTTTTTCTCCTTTGATGAAATGAATTAAAATTCTGATGCCAAAAAAATGCAAAAGTTTTTTTTTCGCTTAAATCTTGATGCTTGTCAATCTATCTAACTTTTGCGTAAGTGTGTGGATATGAGATTTTTGTATTACGTCGATTTGGTTTAATATATTTAAACATTTGCTTCTTTTGCATTCATTAGACAGCAAATATTATTATTTTTGTATAATATGGAATATGGATTTGTTCCGTCGTTGGCATCTCATCGATTGCGACGAAATCCTAGAATCTAAATTCTGTTTGTCGTGTGTAGAGTGTGGAGTTTTGCCGAAGATTTTCCTTGTTGTATAATCTTGATATCTCGATCATTCTCTTGAGAGTCTGTTTTTTTTAATATTCTCTTCCCGCTTGTGGTATTCATTCATTTAATCCACTTTGTCCTTTCTTTCATTATTATTATTATTTTCTTATTTCTTTAGATTCTGTCGCATAAAAACAGTTTTGTCTTACGGTTCAATTGTTGTGTATAATTTTGGTTGCCCAGAATCAAAAAAATTGTATGTGTATGAAATAAAAATATTCAATGAAATAAAATAAAAAAAAAGAGAAAGCCGAACATAATTCAATGATGATGAATACTATAGAAATCCTATGCACGTATTGAATGTAATAATGTTTTGTAAGTGAACATCTAAACAGCAGTATATGAAAATCAACAATGTCAACAACTGTATGCCGCGTTATATATTTATTTGAAAATGCAATGAAAAATGTTGAATTGAATAGCATCATTCATCTTTTCTTTTCGATTGTGTGTGTGGTTTATGTGTTTATAAATCATATTATTCTTTAACAATTGTACTGATGATAATCCAAATAATGAACATAAAAACCAAATTCAATGTCTATGTCAATGTCTAATGTGTATAATGTGTTTCGGTATTGACTTCGATATTTTGTTTTATTTATCCCTTTTATTTCGAATCAATGGAAATTTTTTTTTGTCTGTTTGTTTGTTTGTTACTTGTTTCCATTTACGAATTTCATTTTATTTATATTTTTTCTGTTATCCTGATATTATTATTTAATGTTTTTGTGCTGTTGTTGCATTTATTTACAATTTTTTTCCTACTGTTTCTATCTATTTATGTGTTTAATCATTTCAAATTTTATTTTTCATTCATTTATTTGTAAATTGATCCGGTTCGATTATTGTTTGACCGCTGAAATACTGGGAATTGTTTTCAGTTAATTTTTATTGTGTTTGTGTTTTTTTGTGATCATCAATTTCATTATTATATCGAAAACAAAATTTGATGGTTCAGGCTAAATCAACACAACAAATATACTAATAAAAAACAAAAGAAATAACAAAATGTTTCAACGATCATCGACAAAGCAACAACAACAATTAGAATCGATTTGTTCGCTTAGACGAAGCGATTCTTCGCCAACTTTTACACGAAACAGTAAGTTTTGGCTTTTTTGTTGCCTTAAATCGAAGGATTATGATTAGGGAAATCTCTATAAACTGATTCATTTCTTTTCGCAATATTTTGAACATAAATTTTTTTGTGATTGAGTGAATGATTGAGCTTTCCTGTTCGATTTAGGCTACGGTTGTCATTCAATCTGTTTTATTTGCTACGAAAAAAAAATTCATTTTGTGTGTGTTGCCTGTTTTCAAAAAAAAAAAAAAATCATATCCGCTGTTTTGTTTTTGCTTTTCTTGTATTCGATTTAAAAGCCTAAGATATTTTTATTCGGATTATTATCTTGTTCATTTTCTCCCTTTCTCTCTTTTATTGACAAATTTCCATACCATTCCATTTAAACGGAACTATGTATAAGCAAAAATAAAATAAAATTATACAAACTAATCAGATTGATTGCCAATGTTTGTGAATAAAAAAATCATTTATATTTTATATTAAAATAATATTTTCTTTAGAAACTGTTTTACATTTTTTTGTTTTTGTTTTCTAAGGTTTCAAACTGACAAAAGAAAATTAGAAATTAGTATTCTGTTTGAAATGAAGAAAAAAAAATAACAACAACAATATCAGAATCTATCTAAAATTATGGTGTATAGGAATTTTTAGTTACTAACACACACGCACACACACACCAAACAGTGAAATGGATCGATCTAATAAAGTGTTTCTGTTTTCTTTTTATTTATCATTCATTCTTTTATTCAATCGATGGTCACGCCAAGTCAATCATTCGATAATATCGATTCGACACACCTACAATATAATAATTATAGTAACAAAACAAAATCAAATTCAATGTTGTAACGTTTTTTTTTCGCAAGCGCATTCAATTTTTCTTTGCTGATCAAAATAATAAGAATCTTTTAGATATAAATGTTCAAGTTTGGGTATTTGGATTGTGTATCTGGTCAATAAATGAGATCAAAGGAGAAAAAATAAAATTTTTGTTTGTTTGTGTGTGTGTGAGAGAGAGAGAATGATGAGAATAGATAGATAAAAAAAGAATTTTACTAAAATAATATTTGATTTGTAATGAATAGAGGATATTTGATTTGATTCAATTATATTGATTAGATATGAATTTTTTTTTAAAGATGATGTGCAAAAATATTTGTCTACGATGAACTTGACATTGTCATTGCGAAATCAAAAAAAAAATGTATTCAAAAAGAATCATATGAATTATCATATTATTCTTTTTTCTCTTTCTTCCTTTATGTTTGTCTTTTGTTTTACACACACACACGCATTGTTTGTTCTTCTTACTTGTTCTACAATTAATCTCGTATACACATCACATCAAATCAAATCATCATCATCATCATCATCCTAGTCGTCATCTTCATGTTGAATCCTAACTTTTTTTTTTGATGTTGACGTCATTTCATTTTGAATGGTAACAATCATGATGTTTGAACATATGAAAGAATTCAATTGTCTCAATATTTGCATTATCATAACAAGTTGTTCTATGATTATCATCATCACTATCATTATTATAATTATTGATTACTGTTTTGCTTTGTCATTTTTTTTCAATCAAAATTTTCAAATCTTATATTTGATGAAGATGTTTGTCATTTTCAATGCGTTTTAAAACGGAAAAATTTATTTTTTTCACAAAACAATTCTTAATCAAATCACTAAAATCTTTGTTATTCTTTTTTTTCTACTTACAGAAGATGAATCACTTGTACATAAATCAAATAAGCCTGGTTTAATGGTAAGTCAAATTTTCAATTTTAAAAAAAATAAATTCTTTAATTTTTTGTGTTCTGCTGTTTACCATGGTATTCAAAAGATGGCAGTACAATCCGAATGACTGCCATTGTTATTAATGTTTTGAATTGAAAAATTATTTTTTGTGTTGCAGAATATTCGCACCGAAAATCGTTTAAGATGAAAAGATTCATATATCAAATTTTTCTAATGTAGATATAATGAATGTGGAATAAAAAATGAATGATTTTTTTCCTGCCAATATATGAACAACAAAATTTAGATCGCATAAACAAATTCAAAACGGTTATTTTTTTTCAAACATTAATCATTAATCGCCATTTTGATCCAGATTCAATGATACGTAAAATTCGTATGATTCTTTAAGTCGAATTTCTTTTTTTAGTTTTTCGGTTTGGTTTAGTTTTGTGTTTTAACATTCATTGGAAAAAACAAACAAAATTTTTTCAATGATTGATTGAATTTTTTTGAATCCTATGATATCGATTATGAATATGTTTATTTTTCATCGAAAAAAATATCATGTCCAGTAAAAAAAAACGAAAATTAAATCAAACAAAAGATTCATTCTGTCTTTTTCAATTGTATATGTTTCATTTGAAATTTCAACTTTTTGTTGTTGTTGTTTTGTTTTGATTTATTTAGGTTAGTTGTGTAGTGAAAAAAATCGATCATTTGCATTTTTGTTGAATTATATATTTTTTTTTGTCCGGTCATTTTCGTTTTGTTTATTTATTTACAAACTTTATAAACGAATTCAGATTGTGTAATGGGAAGGGGAAAAAAATTTGTAATTTTGTCTTTCATAAATGAATCATTTTCGATTGTTCAAATCGATTCTATTCATTTGTTTTCACTATGCTGATGATAGTGATTCCAATCTTTTATTTTTGGTTGTTTGTTGAAAATTTTATTTGCTGATTTATCGTTTTTTTTCTTCTTTTACTTTCTCTCATTCACATCTCAATTAATTTATAATTTATAAACATCACATTGAATAATATTTTCTTTGTAAATTTGGTTTCAACAATGTAAACAATTCAGGTAGATGAACTTTAATGATAAAAACAATATTTTCAAGATCATCATCATCGTCTTCGTCGTGATTTTTGAAAATTCAAACAATTTTAATTCATGTAAAATTGTGATTCAACTTTGATTAAAGAAAATTTCACACTAATTCCCTCAAATGTTTGCTAGATATATATATGAATGAATGGATAAAGGAAAGAAAGTGAGTGAAAAAAAATCGACCCAAAATACAATGAGTTGATTTTTCAATAATGTAAATCTCTCCTCTACGGAAATACTTAGAAAAGATTTACGGCAATTGAGGCGAAAAATCTCTCTTTTTTTCTTTTGAAAAAAGTGAAAAAATTCGTCTCACATTTTTTTCCGAAAACACTAGATGCCAAAAGAATTCATTCTATTCAACATTGATATTTGATCTTGATTTTTCTTTTCAATTGAAAAAAAAATAAAGAATGAAAAAAAAGTCTATCGTGATCATATTCAATTTTTTTCATCATCATCATCATCATCATTGTCTGTCATTCATTGAAATTTTGGTTGTTCGCTTGACAATCATAATCATAACAATAATAATGGAATGTTCTTTTCAACAACAAAAAAAAATTTTACCAAAATTGAATTTACTAAAAATGTTGAAACCCATTTATTCGGTGTACCAGATGATTATTATTTGTGTTACGTTCTTGATTTCGGTTTTTTCGATGATGATCGAAACGAAAGAAAAAAGAATGAAAAAAAAATGCAAATTTTTTTCCCGGTTCATCATACAATAACAATTTCATGATTGATTTTTATTCAAAATAATGATAATAATAATAATGAAAATAGAATAAAATCCAAACCACATGATAAAATACAGAATTTTGAATATAAATTCAGGAATAGTGCTCGTAAATATTAGAAATTCCATTCGAATGATTAAATATAGGATTTTATTTATTATTTTCATGATTGAATTTCCATGATAATCGGAAAGAGAAAAAAAATCCAATGAAATAACATCGGAAATAATTATCTATATCGAAATATCCTAATATTTTAAAATGAAAACCTTTTTTTCGTTTCAATTTCTAATCAAAAACTAAAAAAATATTTTTGTTTACAATTTTGTTTTTGTAATTGTACATTGAGTTATTCTGAGAAAATCAAGAAAAATAGAAACAGGAAAAACAAAACAAAAATTCTTAAACTTAGCAATGTTGAAAGTGTCAATTAAATAAATGGCGTTTTTTTTGTTGCCTTTGAAGGGGTGTATGTTGTGCATCATATCGTTGACCATCATCGTCATTGACAATCAATTAGAGTTTGCTTATATATCAACGAAATACACTCCCCGAAAACAATGTCAACTGAACGATCAAACATCAATCAAGCAGCAGCAGCAGCAGCTACCAGAAACAAAAAAAAACTAAAACGTCAAATTCTTTTTCATTTTTATGGATTGTCATCAAAGTTAGAATGGATCGGTAGAGAAAGTTATCATTTTATTTTTTTTTCATTCTAAATTATTTTAGTTTTTTTTTATTTTTGCTCAATTTATGCCCAGTATTTTTTCTGGTCAACAAACAGAAAAAAAAATATAACGTGTCATTAAATGCATTCTTTTTTTTCTAGTGCTTAGCTGCAGAACCAGACATAAAGACCAAAAATGATGGTCAATTTTTTGTTGTTGTTGTTATTATTGTTAAAACTTGAAATAGGAAACTATGGAAGTTTTAGTATTCTTTTTTGGCCGAAAAAAAATCATCAAAATCATAATGGACAGGCGCAAACAAAAAAAAAATGAAACCATTTTTTTCATCATTATCTTCAATCGTTTAGTGAAAGCTATTATGATTTTAGTTATCGAATAAATGTCAAACAACAATAACAAAGGTAGTGTTTGGTGTTTGGCTTTAATCTAGATTTTTTTTGGTTTTATTGGTTTTTATTAGTTTTTATCGCAATACCTATTTGTTGTTTGTTTGAATTTGTTTACAACAAATAAAATGTTTGTATCAATAAACCGATAATAAACATCATGATGATTTGAATGTTGAATTTATCCGGCAACATATATTTTGTATATTGGTGCAAAATTTTGAAACATGATTGCTTCAAATATAGTAAACAATGATAATATAAAGTTCAATTAGGATACATTTTTACTATTATTACTATATATATATTGGATTGTTTTCACCGTAGATAGATAGATAGATATCGATATTTATGTAAAAACAACTTTATGCAAGTGTATGCGCGCGTTCTGCCAATACATACAATACAGAATAATAACGATTCTCTATCGTTTGAACCAATCGGTTGATGACAGTAAGTGATCTCCATCATCATCACCGTTTAAATCCGTCCACTACGAACTTGTCGTTATAACCAGAATTGCGTATACGCCCGATCAATTCAAGCGTTATGCGCAAATAACAAATTTTTTTTCTTCAATTTTTTTATATCCTTTTTTCTGCCATTATTATCCATTCAAATTATTGATTCTTTACATGCAGTATCAAAAAGAAAAAAAATTTATTGTCCAGTTATTTTTCTTCATAGCAATCCTTTTTTTTCTGGTCATATATAATGTTGATGATAATGATAATAACAAGCAACCTTTTTTTCAATTTTTATTACAACCAATTTTAATGATGGAAGAATTTTTCATTTCAAAAAATTTTGTGATACAACTTTTTATGTATGTTTCTCTTTCTTTCATTCTTTCACTGACTGGTTTGTGTTTGTGAATAAAATTCTGATTTTGGTATTTGACCGATTGTTTAATTGAATACCCAACATTCCATACATTTCATTCATTTGTTTGTGTTGTTAACTCAATCGACTAATTAATTTTTCTTCAAGTGAAATAAAATTTATATCATTTAAACTTCAATTTCAAGCTGTTATCGTTTTTTTTTGAAATTTATTACAAGTGATAATTCATAATTCGAACGAAAATTTCGAAATTAAAATTTTCCGATTTATATTATTGGTGCATAAAACGCACTCAAATCTGGCGTGAATCATCATCAAAATCATCATCAACCACTGATACAAATCCTCAAGAATCATCACAAGCGCCAACATCGTTGTTGGCGTTGAATCCTAGTTTAAATTTCAATATTAATAATAATAATAATAAAATTCATCAAACGATTAATCATCATCTACAGGATTTTGATGGCCGAGAGGCCACCTTTGTGGCACTCCTGGTGCCTGATGATGATCACTGTGGTCAAGATGATGATGATTATGGTGATGATGATGATAGTGGTCTGCAAAGTAATGATTTTCAAAATCATAACACTGATTTTTACGTAAGTATAAGTTTTCAACATCATCTGGTCATATATGCAGCATAAATCCTGACAAATTTAATGGATTTTTTTTTTCTCTTTTTTTATTCGTTGAGTTTGCGGTTTATGTGTGTTTCTATCTGAACATAATAATTAATAACATTGCTTTTTTTCACCCAAAACATCCAACTTTGAGATGGAAAATATTTTTCAAAATTTGAATTTATTTTTTATTTGTCTAATGTTGATTCATATTGGTACATCATCCTAATGGCCACTATAAAATTTATGGAATTCGTATTTTGTTTTGTTTTGTTTTCTTTTTTTGGTTTCAACCAATTAATAATTTTACCTCATCATTCAGAAAAAGTTATGAACAAAAAAAAGACAAAATGAAAATATATTAGGTGTAAAATCTGTATGAAAGACCTTGGTCCCAGGAATGTCCGGTAATTTTTTTCTCTGGTTTTGTTATTGTCATGGTTTCCATTAAATGAATAGAATGATCACTTTTTTTATATTTAATGAATAGTGTTCGTGTCGTACTTTTTCCGGTCATCTAATAAATATGATCATTAATGATGGAAATATTTTTTTGATAAATATCCATACAGTTGTACAATTGGTAAATCTAGTTCACTTTTTCTTCTGTATTCAACATACCAATCAATCTTGATTTTTATTCTAATAATTTTTCTTCATTCTTCTCTGATTCCGATTCCTGGAATTTTTTTTTTCATTTGTTCGTTCCCATTTACCATTTTTTTATTGCATGTTTCTATCAGTTGTAAATACAATTCACAGTTACCGTTTTTTTTTCTTCACTTCCAAATGTTGATGATAGAATTAATTTCTGGTTACCACATAATCAAGTCTAAATGAATACGGTTTTGATCAACATTTTTCGGCTGATTTTTTTTTCATTATTCCAGCTTAAATAAAAGAATCATATCGTTATATTCATACATTACCAGTCCATATGAATAATCTTTGATAACTAGGACATGTGACATGTGAAAAAAAAGTTTTCTCCATTTCATTATCCATTCAAAATAATGTTGACAATGTAGGATGGAAGATATAAATGAAAATAAAATGAAAATCATGCAATAGGTCAATGTAATGTCCATTGTCGAATGTAATTATGACTTTTTTTTATATATTTTCATAAAATTCATTAGAAAGATTTTCGATTTGAATGAGAAAAAAAGGTGTAACTTTTTTTTGTTGTGTTATGCCTAATCATCATCTGTTATTTGTTGAATTTTTAAACAAAAAACAAATTCTAAAATTCATATTTTGATATAATCCCTTGAACTATTGCACGGAAAAAAATTTTTGTCAACAATAACAAGTATTAGATGAGTAAAGTAAATTAATATATATTGCCAATATATTGAACCATTGAATAATAAATCCCACTAATTTTTCTACCTCGAATTTTGTTTGTTTGCTTTTGCTTTTATTTGTTATAGATTGGATGAATATAATGAATTACCAATGAATTCATATTTTATATTCAAAAAAAAAAGTTTTCATATGTTCAAACAATAGTCAATTTTCATTTGTGGTTCACATTGGGCAACAACAATATCAACAAAATTTGTCGGTCATAATGATCATTATATAACAAATAAACATATTTGCAATATGATTCTCTTATTGTGGATCATTAATCTTATCTTATTTTCATCGATTCATACATTGTTAATATCATTGATTTTTTTATGGATATGAAAGAAAATAATAAATATTACCTGATTAGAATTCTTGTTGTTATACCTTTATTTTGTTTTGCAATATAGTCGTCCCCCGGAAAAAAAATTCAATAATTGATTACAATAATTGATGACAGTTTTTTTTTTGTTCACATCATTTGTGTTACAAATCCTGGGTTAATGATAATAGTAGTATTTAGCATTGTCAGCAAATTATTCAATGGATGTTTTTATTATTATTATTATTATCAGTCACAATAATTATGTTGATGATCAACAATAAATAAACAATAACAATACAAAAAAAAAACATTGTTTATCATAGGGACACAAAATTTTCTGACCTTATCATGATGTTTTTATTTGAGAAAATTTTTATTGCTATCATTTTGATCAAAATTCGTTTAAACAAATTCAAACGAAATGATATTGTTTTCGATCAATTTATTTATTATGTGTGTGTGTGTGTGTTTATAATAATGTTCCAGAAGAATGAAAATAATGGTGTCAACAAACAAATAAACAAACAATGGTTGACATTTGCATTTTTATTTTTCACACACCTACTTTGTCGATCTTTTATTACTAAGCTTTATCGGTTGACATTTTCATACAGTAAATTCAGTTGAACTTGATAATGAATCGATAAAAGTAAACAAAAAACTCAGATATATTGTTCAATATAATGATTGAACATTTCGACCTGAAATCCATGATGATTTTAATAAATGTTATTTCTTTTTCTTTCAGGAATCATTATCAACATCATCGATTACTGGCTCATCCGATAATCAACAACATCATTATCCGCAACAAAATGAAATCAATGTTCAATCAAATAATGCCGGCAGTAAATTAACTAGAACGGGATCAAATCCAAATAATTATAATGCTAATAAAACACGACGTTCATTTCGTTGTTCAGTAGCCAAAAATGATGTGGAAATGAATGAATCGAATCATACACTTCCGTTATCAATAAAGCAATCATCATCATCAACAACAACAACAAATGAAACAGCAACAACAACAACAACAACAACAACAACAACAAATTCTCGTGCCTTGCAACCGCATTTATCGAATGTTCCTGCCGTACCGTATCGTCGTGTTCCTTTACGACATCAAAGTAGTCTGAATAATGATGATGATAAAAATCAACAACAACCACAAAATCAACATGAAATGTTGAAAAAAACTTCATCATCATCATCTTCAGCAACATCATCATCGACGACTATTTATCAAACACCGAAACAACAATCTTCAAGTGGTCGTAAGTAGTATAATTATTTGTTTTTTTTTCTTGTTCATTATATTTGCAATACTTTTACATATTATGTTTTTTTTTCTATTAAAGTGAAAAACGATTTCATAAAAAATTCATTTTGTATCTCGTTTTCTGTTACAAACAAACATCAAAATTAATGATAATCTCATTATTATTATTATTAATGGATAAATATATACAAAAAGACAGGCGTATTACATATTAAATTCAAAAAAAAAACAATCTGTTTTGAATGAAAATTTCCGTCTGGCACCGGGTATAATCAAACGTATATCATAGGCTGATGATGTCTGTTTTCACTTGTTATTTATTTTCGCTTTTTTTGATCTTTGATTCTTAACTTATGTTTATGGTAATGTTATATTTTTGTTATGTTTATAATCACCAACGGATGTTATAAATATAATCATAAGAAATAATTATTTACCAAGAAACAAAACTCTAAGGAAATATGTCTTAATTTTGTTTTTGTTTTTGTTTTGTTTTGCTTTACTATCATCAACGATACTAAGCATATGACATGAATGTGCAAAATATAAAACAGAATAACGGACAAAAAAAACAATAACCTCATAAAAGGACAAAGAACTATTTGCTGAACTGTTTTGTTGATATGACTATTTTGTTTGGTTTAAAAAAATAATGTTTTCGAATTGAATTCTCTCCTCTTAAGCGTGGGTTACAATTCTTCCACACAATGAACTCAATTTGGTTTCGCTTCTTTTTTTTGTTGTTGTTGATGTGGTTGTTTGAAAGAACAAACCAAACAATTACTATAGTGATGATGATTATATAAGCGCCATATAATATTGTTTTTTTTAAAGCTACCGGATGGACGACAACGTCGTCATCATCATTGTAACTGGTATTTTTTTTTATATTAAAATTTTTTTTCTCTATTTTAATTCACTGAACAACAATTTTGAGGCTATAGCAAATTTGAAATAATGACGAGTATGTGATGCTCATCACATTTTTTCCATCCATTCTATATGTGTGGATAGTGATTACCAAAAAAAAAATTGAAATTATTTAAAATTGTTTCCGCTGCTATGATTTTTTTGTTTTTGAAGGATATTTTTTTCACTATTTTTATTGTTGAAATTATATTTTTTTTCAAAGCAATAATTATAGTGATTACAACTTAACGTCATTTTGTTTTTTGGTTTGCGATACAAAACTCTTACCAACGACAACGATCCATATTTATGTAAATTAATCTGATTCGAATTGATTGTTTTTTTTTTGTTAATTGAAAAATTTTAACAATCATGCTTTTTACTAATATAAATGGTCAAACTCATTCAATTCCCAAAGTTAATATATCGGAATTTGTTGATGATAATAATAATCATATTGATCTTAATCATGATGATGATCATAATAAAATTGTAAGACGCCATCATCGTCGTCGTCGTGCAAAAAAATTGACCCAAAATCGTCATTCACTATTTACATTTTCAAATGTTCCTGGTTCATCATTTATACGACGTTCATTAAGTCCATTTAGATGGCGCCGTAGTTCTCAAATGATGATCGATCCAAATGAATCCAAATATCATGATGATATTCTGGATTCGAATTTTACATCACCATCATCTTCATCATCATCATGCGAGTCTATAGGTTCCTTGGAATCATGTTCCTCATGTGCTTTGAGTAAGTAGTTATGACATTTTGTAATAATTTTTTTCTTTCATTAGTTTTTGCTTCTTTATTCTTGTCGCCGAAAAAAATCGATCCAAGTTTCTTGTAACATTTTTTTTCTTGTTATTTTTTTCCGGCATCATGTTTGTCGTTAATGATTGAAAAGAATAATGTCGAAAGCAGACTTGAATAAAGAATTTACCAACAATTTTAAATCATTGACATTTAGGAAATTTTTGTTTTGTTTCCACATTACCATTTACACTATTCAGAAAATATTTTTCAAAAAAAAAAACATTACAAGTCACGAACTTTTCATTTCGATTTACAACCAATGAATACCATTCAAAATTAATCTTAATTTATTATTTCTTAGCAATAATAATGTTGTTGTAATAGCTGTAAAAAACTGAATACATCTTATTATATAAATGAATGTCGGAACCTCTCTCGTATTATATCTCTTATATTTATTTTGAACATTATCATTTGTACGTGTGTATTCGACATTGAATATCTTTGGCGTCGACATTGATCAATGTTAATGTTCAATGTAAATAACTTTTCAATCAAATATAATTGAATTAATAGAAAATAATAGGCAAATATTTTTCTTTTTAGACCATTCATATTTATTCTTAAAATGATGTTGATTATTATTATGATGATGCCAATTGTTAAAATAAATACCATAACTGATTAAGTTTTTCCATAATATATTTAGATTTGGCTAATTTAATACTTTTGTTGTATACGCTGTTATGTATGTTTTGTTATTTGTTTACTTTTCTAATTGATTAATACTTCATATTTCTCATTTGATCGAATGTGGTTCAATAATGATCAATCAGAATGAACATCCTGTTTGTTGATTTGTATGTTGTTTATGTTTGTAATCACGAGAATCAAAATATTTTCATTATTTGCTAAACAAATAAACTAATTTTGTTTTGTTGAAAAAAATTTCTCACTTTTCATTAAAAAAATAAACATGATCATCATTCATCCATGATCATTTTCACCTGTCTAAAAGTCAGCAAGAAATTTTTGTTTTTCCATCTAAGAAATTATTTACTTATTTCATTCATTTAAATCGGAATCCTTTTTGGATGACCAAAATCTGTTTAAATTCTGCCATTGTTTGGTTGTATTGTAAATAATTTTGTTTTTCTTTTTAATATTCATCGAAACTGATTGTTTTTGTTGTTGCATATGTCGTGATTCTTATTTTTGTTTTTGTTTGATTTATTTCCTGATATTTATGACATACACACAAACACTCGACCAAACACATCTATGGCAACAACATCCATATTAAAAATAATAATAATAATAAACACTGGCTATATTTTTATCAGAGAATTTTTCTATATTCAATGTCAATGATATGTTTCAATGTTATCATTTGTGTGTTTTGATTGAAAATTTTCTCCATTTAATTATATTTGATTTCATTTTGTTTTGTTGTTCTCATTCTTTTCTATCTATGTTAATATGTATTTATGTTACAAGTTTAGGGTCCCTGTCCTTTTGAAATTGTGTATGTCTGTGTGTTTAATATATGTAATCAAATCTAATTTGTATAATGATTTATGATTCTGATCGCTAATGAAAATGGTGATGACGATTAAATTATGACGTAAAAGAATTATGTCAATATCCATTGTTACCATATATTGATGCTTATTAAATAAGATCGAATAATATCGATAGATTGCTATTGATGATCATAATCTCATGGATAGTTGATCTTAATTCATTTCTCTTTGTTCATATTCCTTTTCATTCTCTATATTCTTTTCTGTTATTCTCCATTCATTCATTTATTTATTCATTGAAAATGTTTTCTCCTATTATGAACAATTATATAAGCGAACAAGCTACTTTTGCTACATCAAATCATTTAAGAATACCGACCTCACCATCATCACCATCATTATATTCATATCATTTACATCCTGATGTATCAACATCAACATCATCATCATTTTTGGCGACATGTCGACGAAAAAGTCACGATATTACCGGGCAATTTAAACATCTTATTCAATTATCTTCAACAACATCATCATCCGTAAAATTTTCATCCAGTTATCGTCGACCTAGTCTGCCGGCAATTTTGGTTTCTATACGTAAGCAAATCCTTCTCAAACATCATAGTATGAAAAGGGAAAAGATCGATTACACACATACACACATTTACATTGAGTAGTTTTTGATTGTAACTGCAAAAAAGCCGATTTTCTTTCGATACCGTTTCAATCAATTTTTTTCACAGAAAAAGATTCATTCACAGCTGACATTTTTTTGATTATTTTTTTCGATCATTACAATTTATCATTAAATTTGAAACATGTTATTGCCAGAAGCATATATAAAAGTATTGAATAGTATCGATAATGTTACAGTATTGATTAATATATTTATTTCGAAAAGAATTTTTCATATTTTACTTTTGTCAAAAAAAAAATGAATAAAATGTCATTATGGTATGTATAATTTAATATCTTAGCGATGCTGTTTTTTTCTATTTTCCATGGAAATTATATCATAAATCTATTGTTTCAATTCGGTTAAAAAAAAACCTTTTCGTATCGATTTTGATGAAACTAACAATGTTTATTTTGTGGTAATTTTATTATTGTTATTATTAATCCTTTGTAAAAAAATTTATTGATTTTCTTTCCTCTTCTCTTTAAAATTGATTATCCGACATTGAAACTATGGCAATCAATTAGAGATTGCTTGGATCTGATTTTGTTTTGTTTTTTTTAATATCAATCATTTTCATAATGCAATTCATTGCAATACTTATTAAACAAACATATAATTTTGTTTCAAATAAAAATAGAAAGCTAAATGTATCCAGGAAAAAAAATATTCATCATTGAAAACAATAAGAATTTCTTAATTATTAAATAATGTCAACTTATAATGAAGGCTTTTCATTATAATTATATATCGTCATGGTGTCTATATCTATTATCGACAACAATAACAAAACGAGATAATTATTATTATTATCATTATTATATATAAAGAATTCAATCATATATCATTCTTGTTTAAACATGCAAATCTAATCTTGATATTTATGGCTGTAAAAATAATAATAATAATAAATAACATGATGATCAAAGATGAACGTAAAAGCGCAACGCACCCATTTTTCTTTTCTTTTTTTGACTCATCATTCATCATCATTGCGCTTAGCTTAATATTTGCGAATAATAATTGTAACAAATTCTTATGACAATAAACAACGTTTATGATGATGATGATAATCATCATCCACACACAATGCATATATTTGTTATAAAATATTAGGATATCCATAT